TTACAAAAAAAAGCTCAGAACTTTTTTGTACACCTAATACATATATATCAATTATACAGAAAAATTGCAAAAGACAAAAATCATTTATTTTCTTCTCATAAAGTTCTGAGAATTTTTTCAGAATTTTTTAATACCGTATTTTCTCATGTTGGTAAAAAGTAAAAAAATGCAGTACTAAAAAATTATTAAAAAATTTTGAAAGAATTCTTAGAGTTGTATGGAATGAAAATAAATAATTTTTGTCTGTTGCAATTTTTCTATGAAGTCGATAGTAAATAATTTTTAAGTAAAAAATTATTCGAGATGTTTGGCAATTTTTAGTAATTAATATTTTATTAGCTATTCCGAAAATTACAAAATGATAGAAGACTTTTCGACTCAATTTAGTCCACCCTATCTACACAAAAGCGAGTGGCCAAAACTTATGAAACACCGCGTGCATGCGTACTTGCTCGCTTGCTTGCTTGCTATAATTGATGCAATATTGGAGGTTATGTTTAAATGCCTCGATTACTCGCAGAGAGGAAAGAAGGGTGAGAGGAGAGAGAGAAAGGAAAAAGACAGAAAAGGAAAGAGAAGGTGGGAGAGGGGGGAAGAGAGAGAGAGAGAGAGAGAGAGAAAGAAAGAGAGAAGGGGGAGCTCAAAAGTAGAGATCGAAATCGATTAACGGAAATAGTATAATTAGAGATTTTCGCCGAATCTAATTAGCTCGTAAACTGACGTGAACAAGCTCATGAATGCATTTTAGGTATATTTGCTACTGAACGAAATACGAATGAACGATTGCGAAAACGTATACGCCAGTATGGTGTTCCGTTTCGCGCAACAAAACGCGGAATCGAGATTGCACATCGACAGTTTCTCGTTTATTTGCTCCGGTTGAGAGTCACTGACTCAGTTTCGTTCCAATGGGCTGTTCTCGGAGAATCGTTATGCAAAGGTCGCTCTTCGGCGGACGGCCGTACTATTTGTAAAAATTTCTCAGCGTTACGAAGCAGCACGTTGTCGATCGAGACCATCGAGACTACCTATTGCGTTTGACCTCGCTGGACCTCGCGCCTCGTGGTCACCCGAGAGTGTCCGAGTGTCGAAAGCGCACGTCGATTACAGCTCGATTCCGCGGATCGAGATTCCGCCACTTGCCTCTGCCTTGCCGGCGCGAGGCATCGCGACGTAAGAATACACTTGGGTATAGGGTACACAATCAAGTACCAACGTTGAGAGTTGAAAACTCGGTGGGACGAGGTGCGACGAGACGAGACGAGAGGAAAGAACAGGCATCGAGTGCATTGAGTTTGAGTATACTATCGTTGATCGTAATCCAGAGAAGACGGTTAAAATCGTTGATGGCGAACTCTACTTATTTAAGTTGTTAAAGCGTAAACCTAACCTAATCCGTGGTTCGATAGCGTCTTATTGGAATTTTTGAAGCTGAGTTTCGTTTGAATATAAAAGTCCGATCACAGATCACGGATTGTTATGCCAAGTTGCGATAAGTGTATACGCGTTCCCTAGACTCTGGTCTGAGTGAGCACGTAGTCTTAATTCCTCTCGTAGCCCCCTTCGCGGAACTCCTTTCGTCCGTGGTGTTATTACTCACAACATCAACATCAGCCATTGACGTCAAATCAATGAGTGTCAAGCTCTCTATTTCGCGACTCTTCCCAGGTGTGTGCCGTGAACCAGATGCCACGATAATCCCATCGACAAAGTAACAATCGCCTCGTTGCATCCCTGCTCCAGCGTATCGCGCGTCCTCCGGTGTTCCATTGACAATCGTAAAGTAAAGGATGTTTACATTTTTATACATGTATAATCATATGATTAATTGGAATGCCGCTAAATATTCTCTGGTACTGTTTGCGTTAATTGTGGAACTTGTTATTTTGTTAGTGTATAAGGAAGTCTCTGAGTGATAAAGACAACAAAATCGGAAATGGATCCTGCAACAGTGATAGCTCTTTGCAAGGAGAATATCCAGCCATTAAGGTATGGACGGAATGCTACTCAATTGGGAACTGCATTGAGGGCGCAGGAGGATGTAGATGCACAGCAGTTGTTGCTACAGGAGAAGCAGTGAGTATTTTAAACCTATTGATTCAAAAACGTTTGTATATAATAGCTAACTCTATTATAAATTAACGTAGAAAATATAATAATGCGTTCAGCAAAAACATAGCTTTGTAATTAAGAATTATAAGATTCTTTAATTTAGTAAATGGTTTATATATTTATATCCAGTGGGGAACTAAGGACAAAATTAATATTAAGGAAACTACTTTTTTTGTTGAACAGAACCATTTTGTAAAGTTGTTAAAAATATAATATATTTTTATTTTAGAATATATGAGGATGCAATTAAGAATTACGAAGGAGATGATCCATTAGAGAATTGGTACGAGTACATTTTGTGGGTGGAACAGAGTTATCCGAAAAGTGGACATGAATCCCATATTGGGAGACTCTTGCAACAATGTTTAGCGATATTTGAAAAAGATGTAAAATATCATCAAGATCGCAGATACATACGTCTATGGATTAATTATGTGAGTAATATCTTGTAAGTATAATCATGTTGTTAAAGTATTATAATAAAACTTGATTTTTAGATAAATATGCAAAAGAATCCTTTAGAGTTATATCAGCTGTTGCACAGCAGTGGTATCGGCACTAGAGTAGCCGACATGTACAGGGCTTGGGCTTTCGAATTAGAGCAAATTGAGGACGACAAACGCGCAGATGAAGTTTACTTAATGGGACTATCTGTTCATGCAGAACCATTCGAGGAATTAGGTCATGCTCACCAGTATGAATTGCTGCTTTTCACATAATATATTAAATAAAAATTATTTATATATGTTAAAATTGGACAATGACATCTTTTCACAGAAATTTTCAATTTGCTGTGGCGCGCAAAACACTTGGACGCATCGAAGAAAGAAACGATGTTTCCTTGTTCGAACAACGTCAGGCTTTCAGTTCATTAAGAGCGATAAAAGCTGGTAAAAGAGTTGGCAGCATACGAACAGGTCATCATGTACGCGAATATTATCCTGGGACTGTGCCCCAAATCTCGTCTTCTATGCAAAACACAAAACCCAATTCTAAAATACAAATATATCAAGTAAGATATTTGTATGAATATCATATTAGTACATTATACTTTATCGTACTTTTAAAATAATTTGTAATGAAATCTTAACTTATAACTTAGGATGATATACCTGGAGAAATGAAAAGTTCAAGCATATTAGATCATGTACCTATAGAGGATCTGGTACATAAAGAAAATACCATCAAGCCTGGGCCATGGAATAGTGGAAACAAGAGAGGTCCATTAATAGCTCCTACTGTAAAAGCGGGTTTTAAGAGTAAGAACGATGATAAGATATGTCAAATTAAAACAGCAAGGAAAGTAATGTGTGAAGAGAATTTCCTTATTTACTTTCAGTTCACGAGGACCAGAATGATGATAGTAATATGGAGAAAATTAAATTATTTCCAAATCATGTACGTTTTTTTGATGGTAGTAAATATCATGACTGTTTAAGAGTGCCAGTATATGTAGCAGAGCCAATAGATTCAAATATTGTACAAAAACCACATTATCCCAAAGAATTAGTTTATGCTGATAATGTTGATCGTAGTATGGAAGAAATTAGAGCACAACTTTATTTGGAAAGGTATTATTCTTTCATAAGACATAATAAGAAAATTATTTGGTGTATGTATATCTTGTAAAAAACATTGATACAATTAATTATATTTTAATTAATTATATAATACAATTTTACACAGAAGAGTACAGTTTCTGGGAAATAAACATGAAATGTCGATGATTTGTTTACGTGAAACCGATGGAGAATCCCAATCCCAGCTTAACAATTATGAGAACATGTATCATGTACAAGAAGTAGAAGAGCAGAAGCTCAATCAGCAAAGAAGAGAAGCTGAAATCAATCAGCAGAGACTCCAAGCCGAACAAGAGTTGCAAAGGCAGCAATACGAGAGCCAGGTCGAAAATCAAGTTTTAGAAACTCAACGACAGGAAGTTGAACAAAGATTAGAGACCGAGAGAATTGAAGTTGAGAGACTTGAAGCGCAACGAAATAGTCGACCATTACAATCAACAAACTTTATGCACCAACATCACACTTCGTCGTTGACTGTTGATACTGAGGAACATCTGCTTGGACAGAGCCTCACTGTAAACACGAAGGAAGCTATTTCAGTAGTGCAAGGTTTATGGCAATCTCCAGATGCAGCTGCTAATGCTTCGCGCTTTCGTAGTCCTCCTGTTGCATCTAGAATGGTAGATTCAAGGAATAAATTGCCGTTTGATATACACATGGATAGCTCTATGACTCAACATGCGATGTCTAGTAATAAGCATCATCAAGGATACAATGTGCAGGTTTATAACGATCAAGAGAATCATCAAAGTTATCATACGCAGCATCATAGTTATTCTCAGGATGTTGTATATGGGAATCACAATTTGCAAAATAATTATCATTATCAGATGCAGGTATAGAAAAAAATTTATAAAGTATTCATATTATTTTTGTATTAAATATTTTGTATAAACGTGAGTGAATCAATAGATAATCTTAACTTTAGCTCACCATTGTTATTTTTGGTTTTCTTTTGGACCACACTAGAATCTATGGGACGCTGCAACTTTGTTACGCTATATTTCTGAACTGAATGCATATTTTTTAGCTTAAAACGTGTGAAATTTATGCCTTAAAATCAAACAAAGACAAATAAATATGAATAATATTTGATAAATAATATTTGATTTTCAATTAATTACAATATTAAAAAAAATTTTTATTGAAAAAATTCGCAAAAAATAACTACTTTGGATTTAAAAAACTCTCAAATTTTTAAATTTAAACTTTAAACAACAAAACGTGACGTGTTTTTAGTTAACCTTTTGGACTAACAAAAAAAAAATGCTTAAAAAATATTAATCGCTTAAAAAAGTGTAATTATTTGAACTAGTTGAACTATTGAAAATTGACATAAAAAAAAATCTATATATCATAATTTTACAACTGAAAAATAAAATTTTGTTACTTGAACAATATAAAATAGTAGATAAAGGATTGTACATGTATAAATATTATTATATATAGTATATATAATTAAGTTTATTAGAATTTAATTTAGAGAATGATGCAACACTCGATTTGAAACAATACATCCGCCCAAGCGATTTCAAGATTGACAAAGGTTGACATAAAATTTATACTATTTATTATATTGATAAAATTTTTACTATTATATTTATATATTAAAATAATTTTTTTTAATTCTACATTTTCATGTATTTACTTTTATACTATTCGAAATACAGTAAACGTATATTTAACAAAAAATAAAGAGATACCAAGAATACCGAAAACTTACGTGCTAACCACATGTGGGTTCCAAGTATTCTCTGAATTTTCGTGTATTCTCACATTAAGAACAATTGAAGCAAAAAAAAAAAATTACCCTTGCAGGCTTACTATATTTATGTGGATAATTCAAGTATTTTTGAACCTCTCAATCCAGATCTTTAAATTACATTACAAAAAAGTTATAGCAATGTAAAAAATCACATAAGGTACGTTGTATTCTATGATGGCGAGCTAGGGTTAATTTGATTATTAAGAGCAAAATTAATAATTAATTTATACTTTATTTGATATTGGTGATATTGTATAAATACAATCTGTTGCTTTTGATTTGTATATACATTTAACAAGATTCTAAAATAATAAAAATAAAATAAATAATAAAACCCAGGTCAATACATTAAACGAACTATAGTTAGGTGTACTAAATAATATTTATTAATCATAAATTATAATTTTCTGATGATAAGTTTCCACGGTACGTTTCGACTATACTTAGTTCTTATCAGCCGCAAAATACATAAATAACCAAAAATCTAATTAACATATTATGAGGATCATCTCACGTTCAAGTTACAATAGATAATATAACAGATATTTAAGAATCATTTCACCTTCGTGTTACAAAGGATGCTGTATCGCAATCATATCATATGTAGTCAAATGATATAATAGATAAACTAGAATAAATTATCGTCAAAATTGAAAATTAATATCAAGGCAAATACAAATTATATATAATGGTAAGTTCGCAGCAGTCTATTAAAAATGTAATATATAATTTAGAATCGGTTATATTCATTGATACCAAACCGATCTTAAGTGTAAGAGAGTATAAACGCAAATGATGCATCTATTCTCTCACAGTACATATGATATGGTTGCGATATAGTGTCCTTTATAACACGAAGATGAGATGTTTCTTAGAAATTTTATTATATGTTATTTAATTATATGTTAATTAGATTTTTGGG